TATCAAATACTGCCTGTGTCTGGGACAATAGAATGAAATCCAAGGCAACTTATATATAAAGTAAAGGGCCTTAGCCAGAGGAGGTTTGGGGGGGGGGGGGGTGGGGGTGGGTGTGGAACAACGCTCCCCAAATCAGCCGCAGGTCCACTTTTTGTATAATCAACTATTTATCACACATTAAATGGTCTACTTTTATGGTGAAAAAGGTCCACTTTGTTGTTCCACCAAGCCTGGTACGGCTTTGCATGTGAACATAATGTTACAAAGAATCTGCGGCTGAAATACAATTAATGGGGAACCATCAAAGCCAAGTGACGTTTCTGTGTTTCTTGGAAGTGTTCCTTTGATTTTTATTAAAGTTATTAATTGAGTACATTACTTGGCAGAAGGGAATATCGATCATTATGGGGTAGAAATCTGAAATCCATTATATTAATGATGAAATTATCCAGTGATGATTTCCCAGAGATTAGATCTGTCATTGATAATTTTGCCTTTTTCCCCCATGTTGCTTACATGTACTAACTGATACATGTACATGAATATGATGTATTCTCGTAGTCACTTGGGATGGCAATGAGTATACATTGATAATTAAATAACATGCGTCCGTGAAGGGCAAAACCCAATATTGACATACATTATCATTATGCTGTTAGCAGGATTTAAAGAAAGCGCCATTCTCAAGAAATGTGTTGATTATTTCGAAGCTCAGTAGTTGAAAACAATAAAAACAGGAAATTATTATTGGTCTACCTGAAAATGTATAACAAACTTTTTTTGCGGGGGTTTGGATTTTCATAATGCTTCATGAGCTTCATTAATCGCCATTTGTTTTGTTTATTTCCTGCGTGGACAGCATTGATAGGTCGATATAAATAATTGTAATATATTCTGTAATATATGTGTGTGGTTTTTAACGTGGAATATCTTTGTAAATAGCCGTAGTTTGTTTAAAGCGCTATTCATCAGATTCGAACTTGAGTTTGTGTTAAGTGCAAACGAACTGTAAATAGATCACATTTTTGTTTAGTTTATAACTCTGTGTTTGTGCATTACAGGCCTTCATATCTTTTTCTCTGGCTAATTATTTGCTAATCATTCTGTTAATTGAAAGTAATCAACTATGATGTAATCAATAGAAGTGCAGAGCTTAAAAGAAAAGCAAACTGTTGATAAAAATGAAAGTGCTGAAAAAAAAGTTGCCGTGAAAAAAAGGAAAGCAATCTTGCCGTTTTACCCAGATTTAATTGACTTCATTTGTGATTTTATAGCGAAGGATTGTAAATATACTGGACAGAGATTTGATATTTGAGTGTGTTTATCTGCAGCTGTTTTAGGTTCCGTCCCTTTAATTTTAATTATAAAATGTATAATTAGTATGACTATTATATTTTACAGAATGTTATTTTAAGGTAGGAATAGGTGTGGGTTTCGGGATTGTTGTGTAGAGATTTGGCCGTGGCTCGACTCACTGCATGGCGAACAAATAAAGGGAGACAATGGGATAGGACTCATCACAGATTCATTGATAAAACATCCACACAAATCAAAGTCTGCGAAACTGTGGTTCTAGGCTGCTGTCTTGACTATTAAGCCGAAAAAGTATTATAAAGCTATGTTTAAAAAGCCAGCCCACATCCCATTTTACGTCTGTATCCGCCCGTGTGAGTAAGCCTTTTATATTATGAGGATAGTAATCATCCACGAAAATCGCAATATTTGTTTTTATAACACCTCACCCACAGATTCTGTGTCTTGATTGGCCGAGAGCGAGTCACATGTTACTTTCTAATTTTGCTATCTCTCTGTGCACGGCCAAAAGTACTATGCCCATATCAACCAAAGTACTATACCATTAGCAACCAAAGTACTATTTCCACGGCGCGGTATTTGTGTGCAAATGCATGCTGGTGTGCGCGTTGTGCGTAGCGCGTATTATTCCAAAGAGAGTGCGCCGCAGACTTGGGTTCAAACATTTCGTGAAGGGTTAGTTTTTAAGAGAATAATACATTTTCCACCAATTTTGTATTGAAATTGAAGTTTATTACAACTGTGTTCAGATTTAAATAATTTCAAATATTAAAATCAAGCAGAATCCGTTGGTGAAGTGTTATAAAACAAATATTGAATGCTTTATCTCGTGGTGAAGTAAAACTAGCCCCCCTCGGTGATCCATGGACCATTCTATTTTCCCTCGGCTTCGCCTCGCGAAAATAGAATGTCCATGGATCACCTCGGGAGGCTAGTTTTACTACACCACTCGAAGCATTCAATATTTGTATATTATTCCATACATTTGTATTATGTTGCTCACTGCACACTAATTATACTAATTATACTAATTATTTGTTTGTCTTAAAAAAAAAAACCCAATAGAATGAAGTAGACTCACGTCTTACAAGAGCATGTATTTCCACTCACCTGAAGAAAAAAACCCACTGAAATCTATCCATGATATCAGAAGTGATGTATAGTTTTTAACATAACCTATTATTTTTGGTTTTTTTTACCTGTCCATGGATAAGCTATTGAGCCGTGTCAGAATCACTGATTACACACATGCATTCCAATACATATGAGATTTTAAGTAATTGAACCAAGACTGAAATATTATTGTTACTGTCAGATTTAGCGTTTTAAATTTGAGGAACATGTCAACTCCCCCCCCCCCCCTGAAATATTGATGGCGATTTTTGTCATTCATGTAGGTGGGAAAATGTCCATGTTCCATTGTATTTGATGGTTTTATTAGTTGGTAGGATGGTAAATAATCAGTGGTGGACATCTGAATTTTAAAAAATCAAAATAGACATAACTTGTGAATAGAGTGTGCAAAGTACGTGAAATTCTCACAGTAACATGTTCTCTATCCCTATGGTTTTTTTTATGAAATGGAGCCAGCCACATTTGAAACAAATTTGGATTCGGTCACTTTCTTTTTGACTCACCTTGATGTACGTACATAGCAGAATTATTATTTGCATTTATTGAACTCAGGATACGGTATCTTTACCTACCTGTAAACTTTGTTCCAAACCATGGTTTGTATAGGCGAGTCCATCACAATTGCACAAGTCCAGTGTCAAGTAAATCACAAGTCCAGTCACAAGAACAATAGTTCTTACCATACGGTACTTGTGGGGTGATGTTCCTTTCAGAACACATCTCCCCACTATTTTAACAAAAGAAAAACATCATCCCAGAAGAGGATATTTACAAAAAGGGATAAAAGGAACACAATGCTATCACCCCACAATTCCGTCTGGCTGGGATGTCCGCTTGTGAGTTGAATTGGGACTGGAGGACTTGTGGTGGGCCTTCATCCCGGTACCAAACAAACATCCCCCTTCCCCTGATCTGCAAGTATGTTACTCCCTCTTGTGAAGCTTATAGTGCTATTTAATTTTTGACATTTTAGGATTAGCTCAAATTTGCAAATAATGTGCAAGCAGAAGAAAGAGCCATGTACCTAAGTCATATACTATGATTTTTAAGGTTTGTCCTTTATTTACGTCAGTGGCATGCCGGATATATTTGAACAGTGGATTGGTAATGAAATCACAAATCCATTGTAAGAGTGGCACATTTTTTAATGTATGAAGTAGTTACTTGGGAGTATAATAAACATTAAAGTAAAAATGCATTATATATAATGAAACTTATCAATCACCGAGAACAACTCGATACTCGCCAAAATAATTGTGCAATGTTTTTTTGTGGGGGGGGGGGGGGGAGGGAGGGGGTTAACTGTATAGTCCATTCGATTCGTCTGGCAAACATTGTGAATCGGTAAATAATTAATTTTTAAAATCCCACTTTTATTTTCATGTTGATTTAGAATTCACGCTCTGTTTTTCGCTCGTACCCCCCGCCCTGCAAACAGGGCGCTGGTGGTAAGGGCTGATGAGCTTCACAGAATCTTGTGAAGGAAGTACAGATTGACCTTCGCATGCAGCTAGCGCGCGCTACGCATGATGGGCACCGGAAGCTAGTTTGTGTGACGGGTTCTACGTCACAGGTCACGCAAATCTATCCAATAAGAGCTCAAATGACGTCAGCTCTAACCAGCGTCCTGTTTGCAGGGCGGGGGGTAGGAGCGAATCTTTGTGTGTACTCATTTGCGATTTGTCCTTCATCTCTCTCTCTCTTCACCGTTGAGGGCGCAGTGATGCACCGAGGCCATATAATTATTGGCGCACCCTTAATCTCATTTTGTGTTTTTATTGCTATTGGTTTTCTCACTCGCAGTTTTATCGAGTCCCTTTTTTAATTCAAAATTTTAACCGTCCACATCTCTTCCAAGTACGAGATAAACGTACTTGTAAGTTGAGAGGACACCGAGTGTTTGGTCAATATACACATAACATTAAATGTAAAATGGTTAGCATTGTCCCATGCTTGTAATCGAGTGTGCACTGGGATCCGTTAATGGCTTATAACTTCTTCAACTGTTTAGATGTACGTGTACTACTATGTTGAAATGACATTTTGGACTTGAACTTGCGTAATTTATATTCCTTTATTTTGATTGTTTGTCTTTTTACTCAGAAACAAGTCATTCAGTTTTGCTGTGAAAAATGTGTAGGGTTATGATGATTCATGGAGAAGATAAACATCTCATACATCTCGTCACAGTATAACGTGAAGTGCAGTTCCGTTCGTGTATGGGTTACTGAAAAGAAATGCACTTGCAATAATTTGAAAACGATTGAATAAACTTCAGACACCTGCAATGATTGTTGAACTCGTTGACAATAAAGAATATTTTGTTTCATCTGCGATCCTCAAATCTTGTCTGGATTCCTTTGTCTTGTCATTGTCGAAGGGTCAACCTACATTGAGTTGGTTATGATTAATATATCGGTGTAACAGGTTGAAAGGCTTCACATCTACATCTGATATACAGTTAATAGGTAAGAGGGCAGATTGCATTCGTCCATGTAATAAGATGGTGGCCGGTTGCGAAGATAAAAAATGACCCACATTATGTGTTTCATTGTAAAAGACCTACAACACCACCGCTCATAACAATGAATGATCTACTGTTGTGTTTCCACTATTTTCAAAACATGATTCCCATCCCCTCCAAAAATAATAATAACACCACATTTATTTTCTAATATTTAGCACCTGTTGGAGGGCTTTCGACCGGGGCAATCGTTGGCATCAGTTGTGGCTGCGTGTTGGTGGGCCTTATTCTGATCGGCCTTGGGATCTACCTCTGCTGCGCCCACGACGGCTGCATCTGGTGCGGAGAACACTGCCCCTGCTGCAGAGAACACTGCCCATGCTGCAGAAAACCACCGAAAGATGGAGACGAAAATATCGGCATGAATAATAAAGGTACATCTTAATAGCATGTACATTAATTTATACAAGACAAAACTTGCAAAAGCTTTTCCCAGAACCCACAGAACTCCATCAATTGAGTCAGAATGGATATTCACTTGAAATCGTGTGCCGATAGCAATGCCCGATTCGCCAGTACCACTTAATTTAGTCGGTCGGTAACTCCTGCACTCAGTCATAAATGTATAAGGCTGGCCCTCTGAAACCATCAACCAAAAAAAAAACCCCACGAATTAACTTACGTCACAGATGTTTGGTTTTTTTTGGAATGTTTTAAACATTTGTGTTGGAGGCTGCAGTGATTTTATTAACCGAAACTGTTAGTCTTTGCTTCTGTCAGTATTTTTTGGGAGAGAAAAAATGAGGTTTAATTTCTTTTCGTCTGTGTCCCCGCGAACTTAAACCCTCTATCACATCTGGTGTTCATAATTATATAGAAACTCGAAAATTCATTGACGCATTTACACATTTAATATAATATAAACTAATTTAACGTAAATCTTCTTGTTATCTTGTTGATATAGTGAAGTTTTTATGGAAAGTTAAGAAAGCCCAGGACGTATTCCATCTCATTTTTCAATAATTTTATGACAACATTGTTTTGTGCAGGAGACGAGAGACCTTGATTGGAGCGAAATGGTAAGGGTATCTCCGCAATTACGCATGGATCATTGGCACATTTGTTTGTGGAATTTCATGACACCCTTTTTGTGGTTTTAGTGGAAACTGTCAGGATTAGCCCAATGCATGTAGGAATGATGTGGACATTCTAAACGTGGGTTCCGTGCACATGACTTTCACCATCTGCGTCGAAAATGCGAACCATTGCCTCTGAGAATGGACATCCCATATGCATCCACAGGAGCACCAGCAAACGGGCAGATCCAGGAGTTTGTCCGGACACTTGGCCTCCGTAAAATCAAAGGGGGTGGAGGGGGGCTCGTACCATACTTAAATATGGGCACTTGTATTATTAACACTATATTACAGGATAGTGTTCAAATACCCACTGTTCCAAGCTGGCTCTGTGTGTATTTTTTGAACAGGCCGACATTATTACCAGTATAATTTTTGTTGGGTGTCAGACCAGAGCTGGGGGGGGGGGCCATTATATTTCATGAATTTCTATACGAAAACCCCCCAAATTGACACAGCTGACCCCCGCCCCCCGATCCGCGCCTGGTAAACCTCGGTCGATAGACACAATGTATATAGGGTATATGATGACAATCAAACCAGGAAATTTGTAGGTACACAAATTAAATGGGGCTGTGAAACATTCTTGTTTTAGTTAGTTAAGCCCACACATCGCTGCCGTTTGTTCTTTTGTAGGCTCTGGTGGATGTTGCGGTAATAAGTTATTGCTGGCGCCCCCTTATTACACAGGGCTGCGACTTTTGTAGTACCTATGAGCGACCAAAAAAAGGCAAGGACGCTCAATGGTCGTCTAAACCCAGAAAATCCTGTTTCTATGTAACTGCTCCAGCGATCCTTGTGTCTCCATTGAGGCACAAGGGAGGCAGAAGCATCGCCCAGATTCACGGTAAAATTTGCAACAGAACGGATCTACATTTATTACGTGACGACCATTGTGCATCCATTCTGCAACCACGGCAAGGCTTGTGCCTCCCCTTCTGCCTCATTTGAGCCATCTTTGAGCAACCAACCTCCTCAGCGACCTTTATGGGACTGTTTTTGAACATGTTTGAACATGTAGTTTCATTCAAAAAATAGAGTTACGTAACCGTTAGAAATCGCCCTTCGCAACCATATGGCTGCGTAGGCCAATCATAGGCCCAAAGGTTGCAGCCCTGTGTAAAAGGGGTCTTACGTGTCGCTTTTGTCCTACCAGTGTCTAACGGTGACGCGCATGCTCCCACAAAGAAATGTTTCCTCAATTTAGTGCAGATGTCTTACCTACGTAAACCCATTAGCGCCACTGCAAGTATATGTTGGTAATTCGGGGTCTGAATTTTTAAAATCCTGAAGAACAATAGTAACAAATTAACTTCTTTTCATTATTTAGACTTTTGAATTATAGTGCCGGGGTATACAAGGTTCACCGACCTCTGAAAGTTCACCATGGGTCAGATATGAACTTTCCATACATTTATAAATTCATATCATGGCAAGAATTATTATCTAAACTTTGGAGTTGGGTTGTGGAAAAGTGGGGTTCGAATAAAAAATCTTGTAAATATCAATAAATAGGGCATACAAAGTTAATGTTGGTGTATACGTGCTTTTGGGACAGAGAAACTTGGCAGGATTTAAAATTGCTTTGCGACTATAGGGGCAGACATGTACACGGAGGGTATTGTGGCCCCGCCCCCTCTGCGCTTTTCGCGCCGCTCTTAAGTTAATTAGTCTGATCTAAAAATCACTCTTAAGTATCTCCATAATCTACAACTTCCAAGCTAATGATACTTGTTTTGATCTTGTTTTCAAAAATTTGATGAGGTCTAAATGTAAAATTGGCCCTATTTGGCATTGCGCCAATGAGCCTCGGTCTGATTTAGCGAAACTGAAGACTCGCCATTCTTTGATCAGGGTCGATGATACTATGATTTAAGACAATCAGGGGATTTGTTTCCGAAATTTTGATTAAACCCTATCCAGCTCTCAGTGCATTCTGATCACGTGTTCTCCGCATTTGAGTATCAGAATTATTCCGTAATAACGAATTAATCATCCGTAATAAGGAAATAATAATCCGTAATAATGAATTAGTAATCCGTAATAACGAATTAAACAATCCGTAATAACGATTAGTTATCCGTTATAACGAATTACTAACATATACTTGCAGTGGCGCTAATGGGCTTTTGTACTTACCACTCGACCACCAAGCTAACGATTGTTATTATTTTTTCGGGGGGGGGGGGGACAGGCTATCGTTTCGGTTCAAGTAGAAGCATTTCTCGGTTTCATTTTCAGTCTAGCAGAAGTCACCTGAATGAGCGCTGGGGCTTGGTACTCGCCACGTATACAGCTAACTTGGAAACAGAGGTGTAATAGCCTTTGGTTTGAAATCAGTTGTACTCGGCCATCCGTGACTGAGATGCTAATAAGACATCTATATGAAAAGCTATTGAACTATCCTTAAAAATGGAGCCACTTTGACGGTTTTCGAGTTCATAACTTTTACATGTTCACCTATGATTTGTTATTACTTTTTTTTGAAGCACCGTGTATAGGCTATATTGTCTATCATTGTCCTTGTTTATTCACTTTGTTTTTGATAACATTTATCTTATTGTAATTCTGTACTGGTTTGTTGATTGATTTTTTAATTTGTTATTGATCTGCGAGTCATATTGTTTTGTTAATCTGGTATTTTGTAGAATGTATACATTTATGTTTTGATTTGCTAATTAATTGTTTTGCCTGAGATATTATTTAGTATAGGTTTTCCCGTCTATAATTTGAATTCACCGTTTTTGTATTATTCAAATTCGTCAATCAATATCGATTTAGTGCACTTCCAATGTTTAATTTCGTCTTTTATCAGACAATGTCAAATTCAGTTCAAACAAATTCAAACAATGAACACACGTTTTCGTCCCGGAGTATTCGAGTTCGTCTCGTCTAAGCCAAACCTTGCTATCAGACATCAAATTCATCTAATTGATTTATTATAGGCCTAAGACAATTCGATCTCTGAATGCTGCCATTCTGCAACAGCTTAGACGAATTCGATCTGTAATGACGAATATTCTCGACCCGGTGTCTAATGAGGGTGACAAAACTTTGAAATTGAATGGAAAATGGTTTGTTAAAAACGTGGGTTTTTCTTGGACGAAATTGAATGTTAGATTTGGTGAATATGAATGAAGACTGTTTTAGAATAGCCGGAAAGCCTATATCTGTTTAATTTACCCCTCAATGTTTCCATCCAATTCATTTCATTTTTGTTTTTGTACAGGCGTTTCTTGTTGAGCCTCGACTTCAAAACATCCCTGCACAATTGCCTTTTCATTTTTAAACCATTTCTAATCCATCACATTCTTTATTAATTCTTTATTACTGTTGTTAGAATGCCGGGCACGTTGCATGATTTGGTCCCTGACTGTTCTACCCTCGTAATATGGTATAAAACAGTTGTAAATAAATCTAACGGAGATAACGTTGATATTTTTATCCAAACAATTTTCAGGGGACAGCGAAGAGGATCATAAAACCGAAAGGGACCTTTCTTAAAGGACCTTTGTTTCTACCTGCGAAGAGCCCCCGAAAATATGTTCTTTGGAGCGTGGGACTTAAGAGTTTCATTTCCCGATTTATTTTCGAGTTTCAGTACAAAAAAGATAGATCTCTTTTCTTAATTTCCTTCTTCTAACATTTCAAAAGTGATTAACTTTTAAATGATTTACCGACCAAAAACAATGGCCCACGTTTAGTAACTAAATTGTTAATTACAAATTTCGAATTACTTGCGGCTCGACAACAGCTCAATTGTCATTGGTGGGTTGGTCTCGCCCCATAATCAGTGTCGATAATGTATGGACCAGGATACAATCTGCTCTCAATCTGGATCGGTTTGTACCCAGAATAAACACATTTTTCAGAGTGTTATACACCCCGCCCCCACAAAAAAAAATTACAATGGATTTTTTCCCAGCTCTGTTCATCTAAAAACGGAGACGTTCTTGCTTTTACTTTATGCTATATAGATTGCTGTGTGCATACTTCACTTTAGTGATTATTGTTTCAAAAGTCAACATTTAACCAATTGTGAATATCATTCTTTCATTAATGAAATTTACCTCTAGTTAAACTTATCACTCTCTTTATAACTCTATGAGAAACTGTTTAACATTGTTTACGAACAAATGCTAAATGTTCATCATTAAGTCCGCTGTACAAAAACATATTTAATTTCAATCACCATTTTGGTGATTTCTTTTTGTGAGTATTTGGGATTCTCTTCAAGGACTATAATGTGCTGTAAATACATTGCTTGTGTAGGATTTATAGTGTCAGAATTTGTGGAATTTGTGGTGTTAAGTAATTCATCGCTCACTCAGAATAGACTACATTTTACCCAGAGTGCACTTTATACGATTACATTTAAAGTTTTCGCAAACATGAGTAATTCACCAGTGTATGACACCTTTATCTCAAGATGTCGGTAGCGGATGTGGAAACCGTAGTTACTGCATGTGAATATGCCATTGTTGCCTGTAGCAATAGTTGTGAAATCTACGTTAGGAAATAGTAGGGATATAGTATCTGTCTAAGTATACATGTACATTACGATAATGATATTTCACCCCGCGCAGTGTCCTTACTCAGTGATATACATTTTGGAATTGATCATAAACAATTTCAACCTAAATAGTAGCTATTGAAGGAATTTGGTGACATTGTAGAGTGTTGGAAAAATTGCTAATTTTATATCAACTGACAAAACTAGCGAACGATGGGAATGAGTAATACTTAATTCTGTTTGTAAAGAGGTTTTTAAAACTAATATTTAATCGGCACATTGTTATTACTCTATAAGTATCGGTTAATGGTGTGTATCACTGAATATGTTGAAACAGTATAATTTGTACCTACATGTATAAATATTAACTAGTACAGTGTATTTGTTTACCCAGAAAGTATGCTTATAAGTATGTAGGTGTTGAATAAGACATTTGAATAGGAATGTTAGACTTTTCAATGGCTGAACGTGAAATTGAAGAACCTGAAAACAAACGAAGATTCCCTTTATTTCTAGTGCCATAAACAAGACACTCATATAATATTTTGTAAATAATGCATCGATAATTTTTTTTTTAATTGCAAGTATTTAAAAGTCGGGATTTTGTTGGATTGATGGAAATTAATATATACTGGGCAGATTTTAATGTAGAAATCGTCTGGAATGGAGCCAAACAAAAACGCCTACAATGCTTAAATACATAACACACGCTATGTGTATCATGCACAATGACCACTGTAGTCCCCGCCCCCAATTTACCATCCCTCATCCGAATTTTGTAGAGTATCCGGGCGATGGTTAGAGAATTTGGGAACAATTCCTTCTCAATGCAAAATGTATTTCTATAAGCTAACCAGCACAAGATCCCTGTTCCTCACAAATCTGCTCCCGAATTGTAAGTATACATTTTAAACTTCCCAGAATCGTCCGGTTGCAGGGGGACACATTTGAGTTTGTTATCTTCCCAGTCCTCGTGGTTAACCTGAATTTGTTTGACGTGTACATTTGCTTTCATTTTAAAGAATATAGACATTAGCCAAGATTTGCATAATATAGCGTATTTCGTTTAATCAGAGGGTAATTTGTCTTTACGCTTTAGTATATATTAGAGCCTTTACTGTAGCCATGTAGACGCTATTTTCATTTAAAAAAAAAAAGGTTTTCTAAGTTTGATCATGATGGGTGTTACTTCAACGCGTCATTCCAACTGCGCATACTCGAATGAAGATTTGGCGATTTTCTTTCCGGGGAAAACACAGGAGAAATTCCTGTTCTACATCAAGGAGCAAAAGTAATCAAAAACCTTTTGACCGCACTGTTTTTAAAGTGCATGCATTTTTCCGGTTTTCTATTTTGTTTGAAAACGTTAAAGGCCATATCGTTCATCTCCTTTGATAAGAAATGTCAATGCTAACATTGTAAAGTGACCCTTTCAGCTGCTGCTGTTGAAAACCAATAAATGAAATAAAATAAATAAATAAAAATGTCGAAAATGTGGTATGTTATATCCTCCTGATGAGATTTCCTTCATACAAAATCGGCAAATATGTATGTTGCTCGTGCGCAGTTGGAAAAGGTACGGTGTAAATAAAACTTAATGTATGGATCATGATAAAGTAGGTATAGTTATAGTATGACGAACAATAACAATCGTTCAAAAAAAAAAACCCTCTACAAAGCATTTATCGATATTGTATTTACAACATATTTCGTATTTGTTTCTTTTATGGAAGTATAGCATTCGTATAGTCTGGTCCCCAGACCAAAATATTCTGACTATTTATGATGAATATAAGGTCACGGCACGTGACCAAAAGGGGAGGAATGCCTCCCGTTTTCGAAAATGTCCGAAGTTTGCCGAATGCATTTCGTCGACACTCGGATAGCGCCCGGGTAATTCCGTGTATAAAATAGCTGTTATTTACCAGCTGTGCTTATTACAATTTAAAAATGAGTTGGAAATTAATATTCATTTCTTGCATTTGAAAAAACCTTACAATTCAATGACGATTTTGTGCATCAAGTATGCACTCAAATCGTCCGAGGAGCTAGCTTTGCTGCGTCATGTACTATTTTGAATCTGACAATGGTTACCTAGGTGTATATCAAAACTCGGCGTCGTCTCCATTTCGGCTTCGCGTGCTATATTGGTCCCTTACTTTGAAGAATCCAACTCAACAGGAGTCGATGTTTTCTTACAGAAATATCAAACTGTATGCTGTATGGAGCAAGTGATTTTCTTTTTATTTGATCTGAAGTGAGGAACAGTACAAGCTTTTAACGATAAACCTGAAGCTGAAGAAAAACCGAGCTTTTTTTATTTTTAGTCGTGGCGGCTGCCTGACCTAAGATTCGTCAGAAATAATAGTCAGATTTTGTTGGTATGGGAACCAGACTAGCACTCTTATAGATGATCACTGTACAAGAATTATACCTAATAAAGCAACAATTAAGCACATTATTAACCGGAGTAGGACAAACACTTTCATTTGAAAGAAAAAATGGGACAAGCAGCCACACATTGGATATTGTATACAATGGATACAACCCATTTTTCTTGAAATCAAGGAATTCGTGAATGATCCAGAAGAGTTGGTCTGTAAATCAGTCTAATCCTGCAATTGTGATTGTTCTTTCGCCGTTTATAAATGATATTGTCGGTATTGCATGACTGTATTTTGCATCACAGTGTAAATGGGTTATTAAAGTGGCAGCTGCACCTGATAAAGACAGTTCATTTGTTAGGTGGCAGTTTTTGTTGTGATCGGATGAAGGAATCAAGGCTCAGCCATTATAAAATCACACAACTCATGATCTATCCCCCACTGTTAGTGTCGCCAGTTAATGTTATTATTGTTATGTGAACGTCTTGGTACCAAACACTGACTAGTCTAGTCACAGACTCCCTCGTTTGAATTTACACAGTTGTTATCTGCTTGATTGATTGAACGGAAGTTGAGATCAACAATTCTTTCTTTTTCGAAAACCCCATATATTTCCCTTGATTGGATGGGCCCAGTCAGGACACAAAATAAATGAAAGAATAATCGTACAATACACGTACATGTGCTGTGATTCTCATAAAATCTCGCAGGTTTTTTTTTCAACGTAAAATCACAGTGCCCTATGAGAGACGGAGGGCAAGGTCATTTGCATACCTGAGTGAGTCAACTTATAATATTTGGAGGTCTCAATATTGTAGGCCCTATATTGTAAGCCTTGAAACTATGTCTCCATTTTCAATCCAATTTTAATTCCCGAGATTTCAGCTTAACTCCAAATGTTGAGCCTTTTCCATATCTAGCTGGTTCAAATTAGTCCGAGAATCACCCGTTGTTCCACGGAGCCCTCAGCGCAAGGGCCTACTGACAAAACAAAAGAGCCAAATGTTTCTGTTAAAGATTAAGATCTATTAGTTTATTCCAAATCGCATAAATAAGCCACACTTGAGCATACCTGACTCTGCCCCCTTGAAAAAGAAGTGTGATAGGCTTCACTCGAAACAAATAACAATTTTACCGATACTATAGTTTTGCTTCGTATGGCTGGGTTGACTAATAACTCCTGATATTGGACATTGCCTTATACATGGCCTGCCTATTGAGGTTCGGAAACAGCATTGGACTAGCACGTCCCTTTAATTGAACAGGATGGTGAACCAATTCATCGGAAAATCGACAGTCACGGCAAATAACCGGCCTTCCTTGCAATTTTCAAGCCCCGGCAATTAACCTGGCTGTGTACGTTGAGTTCCCGGTAAAACCAAAACAAAAGAAAGTAAGAAAAAGAAAAAGAAAAGCAGAAAACAAAAAGAGGCGCGAAGTCATATTGGTGTAAATTTAATGGGTTGGGGGAGGGAAGGGGCAAAATGTCCATGCCCCCTCTTAAACTGATAAATCGAGAATATGTTGAGAAATACAGGAATTTTTTGGGGAAAAATATGTTTTGCCCCCCCCCCCCCCGGAAAAAAATCCTAGCGACGCCCATGCCGGTTTATCGCTCTTTTCGCTTCTTTGTTACCAGGAAGTGAAGTATCTTTTGTAAAAAAAAAAACTGTATGGCTTCGCAAACGTCGACGGAAAGCAGGTCATTCAAGCAACTTGTCAACATTCACGGGGCACACACAATTAGCCTATTAATTTTGATATTAATTATAACCGACACAATAGGAAGGCGCTATTTAGTTTGGGTAAATACAAAAGACTTTACCCAAAATAACAGCGCCCTCCTATTGTGCCTGTCATACATCAATTGGGCTAATTATTGTCGCGTAAACATCGGTAACATAAACCATGTGACAATTAGTCCGTCAAGTTGGTAACAATCAATCGAGTGGCTCATGGAATTCATGCGCTGCGGTCATACTTCATGAAAATCCCCATGCAGAAATATACGCTGCTCCCCTTTTATGAATTTAGGGCGGGGGGGGGGGGGGGGCCGGGGTTGGACAATAAAATTATTTTATCATAAGAAATACAGGCGACATCTTTCTTAAATTCAGGGGGTCGGACAATTCTGTCATTAGAAATACACGTGCTACCTTCCTTTTCTTAACTTAGTGGGTCGGACAATTTTATCATAAGAAAGACACGCGATTCCCTTTTATGAATTTAGGGGGTCGGGCAATTTAATCATTAGACATACAGGCGACCTCCCCCCCCCCCCCCCTTCTAAATGTAGGGGCTCGGACGATGTCGTTAGAAATACATGCTATCCCCCTCCCCCTTTCTGAATTTGGGCAGGACAATGTTATCCCCTCTCACTTTTCCAGACATCAGACAGCTGCTAGGATTTTGTGTTTTTCGTGCGAATAGAAATGTCACTGCAAAACACTGACCTCGCGCAGCAGCTCGCGCCGACATGACAAAGTGTACAACGGTATTTTGGCATGGATTGCAGAACCTGATTTTAGCTTCGCGGGGTTTTGAGCAGCAGTGTTATTTCTTTTTTACATTCTCCATTTTTTTCTTTTTCCCTCTTCTTTCCCCTTCCCTCTGCATTCTTTATTTTCCATTTTGCCAACAGCACCATAATTTTGTCGACAAAACGGACGGGGGGGGGGGGGGGGGGGGGGGGGGGGGTGTGCTACACCCCACCTCTACTGCAGCGACGCTCGTGATTAAAATGCACCGTGAATGTTCAAATGGTGCACGAATGACCTGCTTTCTGTCGATGTTTGCGAAGCCATACAGTTAATTTATACACGAAATATACTTCAATTGTTGGTACCAATGAAGCGAGAAGGAGTGGTAAACAATCTACTCTCTGCATGTACTACCATTGTGCAACTTGCCCAGCGTAACTGAACTTCGAAGCCAACCAGGGACTCAGGACACATGCCCCAGGTTAATTGCCGAGGCTTGATAAGGAAGGCCTGTTATTCTTTGATATTGCCACAGCTTGAGAATTTCAAAGACGGCCGGTTATTTTGGTCTTCCAGTTGGTTCTATTCCCCATAACACTTTGGATTTCCTGTATGTTATTTAGCTCAGGATCTTGCCAAATCAGGTCTATTATTTAGTATTTCTGGTCGTCTTCTTCCTCTATTTCCATGTGTTGGTGCCCAGAACAGTAGCCGTAAAACTACCTCATTCACTTGTCTATAATTTGAAATAAAATAGTGAAAGAATGTATTGAAATGTTTTGTAACTCAACTTGAAATAAAATATAAACAATTGAAATAAAAATGTAAAACGACATTGTGAATTCAAAATAAACTATTTAATAGACTGATATGCTCCATTTTCTAGCACTTCCGTTTGAGTATAATTACATCACATTGAGACTACCGATTTTCTTCAGGAAACAAAATGAAATGAGAAAATAAGAAACAACATAGCGTTTCAGGAAAGTGATACATTTTCAACTTTAGGGACTCACATTGGCTTTTGCTGTAATTTTCAGCAATGGATGAATTTAGGGGGTTAGTATTTTATGAAGAATATTGATTAACTGAATTGATTGAAGTTTTGGGCTCGTCGGGGATTGTAAGATTAGGGAATCAGTCTAGCTGGCTTGTACCCGTCCACGGGTGTGTAATCGATTGCAAAGAAAATGCGGACTAACTAAATAAGAATTGGAAGCAGTATTTAAAAAAATATTTTGGTGGTCGGCCGACCGTTGGAAATTGTTACAAACATGCCGATTTCTTGAAATTGTCAGTACACCAGGTGCGATGATTTTACAAGACGCTTTAGAATGTCATTCACTAACAGTCAAGTAAGGTTTTTCATTATAATTTGGTAGTTTATGTGTGTAAAAGCTATAATATTTTCTCATTCCGGTACAGTGGCGTAACTGAGGGGCGGGGTAAGGGCACGCCTCCCCAACAAAAAATAAGGATCTCGTAGCGCTCGTTTCATGCGCGCACCTGTTTTGCCTAATTTAAATGTATGCAGCGCGCATTCCCATCAACACTTTCGAAGATTAACTCCGAACCAAACTCTGACATTTCAATCAGAATTGTGCGCAACTTCATGGCACCTTCTTTTGTCGTGTAAGGTGAGCGTGCGCACAAGATTCCCAAAACGTTGGTGTGATGTCGGTTCGTTGGTGATAGCGGTTGGTTGTGATAACGCCCTCTCGCTGTAAACTTTCGCGTTTCTACAACAACGTCTTCACCCAAGACTAACGTTGCACTTTTTACCGTTGTGTAGTTCTGAACACGGCGAATAGGCCTAGTCCGAGTCAAGACAATCGATTCTGTTATGTAATACATAGGGGACTTAGGGGTTTTCAAAGCCTTTGCAAAATGAATCAGATGTTCCAAACTCTTTAAAATGCTCGATTATTCTTCCATTCAAATTGCAGAAATAGACGTCATCAGTCAGCCAGCCAATCAAGAACCACGAACCGCGGCGTATGCAAATACACCAACTTCGCACAAAGCTTTCCCACGTGATCAGCTGAAGATCATCAAAGAGCTCGGACATGGCGCATTTGGTCAGGTGCTTCTAGCTGAAGCGTCGGGGATGACACAGGGGTCAAAGGTCACACTGGTTGCTGTCAAGACACTCAAAGGTTAGTACTTGTAGCAAAGTTATGAGATATTTGTCGGCGGTCATGATGATTTAACAACCTTTGCCAATTTGAAAATTTGGGGAGGTAATTGGCAACTAATCAACCCATGCCATTGATTTCAACGAATTGTACACCATCTGTATAGAATTTGTGGTATTTCATCCCGTTTCTCTATGCATGTTATATTATGCAGATGGAGCCGGCCAGAGCGATAAAGCTGACATGATGAGGGAGCTAGACCTGATGAAGAAGTTACCAGACCATTGTAATGTAGTCAGGCTCCTTGGATTTTGTGTAGAGGAAGGTAAAGCAAATAACCATTTAGTTCTCTGTGTTTTGTTATTATTTTTTTTGTTTTTGTTTTGTTTCGTTTATTTTTAGAAAGCCTTTTCTTACAGATCCGCCATACATCATTGTGGAGTATCAATCTAGAGGCAATCTGAAAGACCTGCTTAAAGACAGTCGTAGTAAGGGAAGGCGTGTCTATGGCAACAGGCATGGTCCCAGTAATACCTCCAAGGATCTGATGAAGTTTGCCAAGGATGTTGCTGATGGAATGGCCTTCATCTCGTCTCAACGGGTAAGCCTGGTTCAGACTGGGATCACTTACTCGCCCATTCGGGAATTCAGTATGTGATCAAAACCATTATTAGTCAGTGCAAAAGCATTGTTTAAAATACACAAAATTTGCTTCTGCCAGAGTTAATGAAGTGACATTGTCTTGAATGTATTCCAGTGCATTCACA